TTGCCGGTCACGAAAAAAAGACAAAAAGGAAAAAAAAAAAAAAGAACACATTCAGGTATGTTTCAATTCAGTTAATAAAGGACTTTGAAGGTGTTGAATATTACGTGAGAACTGAAATTTTCTTTTTGGTTCAAACACTCTTTGGGTGGATGTGTGCTATTTGAATTTTTGTGGTTAATTAATTAGCATTGGAAAGCATCAATCAACTTTTCCTGTTTTCTTTGAGTATGTAATGACTTTCTGGCAAATTTTAGCATGGTTATAAACATCCAGTGTAAATTTGAAATGCTGTTCCTGTAAGCCACTGCACTGGGATTGAATTTTAAAGTCTGGAATATATGAAACATGTCAGTGAGGGATCTTCAGTTCTTTAGCAAAGAACTCAAAGGAAGGTTACTGTTAATACAACATGCCAGCTCCTGTACTGACTACAATGCTCAACTCTACAGCAGGAAATGGGGGAAGCAAGACTTTAACTTTGATGGTCCCGCAGTCTCTGGAACCTTCCAACAAGCCATGAAAACTCAGAGCAGAGCACTGTGCCCTTCCTGACGGCCTGCTTCCTAATCCCTGCCATCCACTGCATTTTCCACTGGGGTGAAAATAAAACAAATCATCTTCACACTTTGCAAAATATTTCACGCTTTTTGGGTTTCCTTGCGATTTTGTGGATGATTGGATTGGGGGATAATTTAAAAAGCCATTCCCAGAACAGCAGCAAAACAGAAACATCCATTCAGATATTACATCACCTTCTCTTCAAAAATGGTCACACAAATAACCAGTGACCAACTACCAAGGGGCGCCAACTTTCATTCCCAATTTCATTTCCAGATATAATTTTTTTAACCATCAGGATGCCTTTGACTCGATGATTGCTCGGTTCCAGGTAATGGTTGACAGACGTGCAGACCGTGTGCCTCCACTTTCCTTTGGTTGCATGACAGCTTGGTGGTGTTTTCCTGTTTGTTCACTTGGCTTTCCTTCCCTTTCCTTCCTGGGGGGCCTCACGGGCTGGCAGCACCCTGGTGCAGCCGCCCAACTGCAGAGCCTCCGTGCCTTCCAGCAAGGGCAGCAGCAGCGGCAGCAGCAGCAGCAGCAGCAGCTCCTCCAGTGACTCAGAGAGCAGCTCTGGATCTGACTCGGAGACTGAGAGCAGCTCCAGCGAGAGCGAGGGCAGCAAGCCGCCCCACTACTCCAGCCCCGAGGTAAGCACGAGGCTGACTGGAGCCCCCCCCGCTTGTCACAGTCCCCCCCCTCGTCACAGTCCCCCAGCCTCGGTGCCAGACAGGAGGGGCCTGGGAGGCTTCAGGCTACTCATTTTCCCCACTCTGTCCCCTCCTCACAGCCTCCTAATTACACAGCTTCCTTTGAAGTACAGAAATATCATCTTTCATTGCCCCAAAATCTCTATCTTGACTTCCAGAAATTTCCAAGTATGCTGTAAACATCACTGGCACAAAATAACCTATAGGTCAGTCTCCCTCAGGGTCAGCCGAGGCAATAGCTAGACATGGAAGTTCACCTCCTGGGAGGGGTGACCACCCATAAATCACAGGGGAAGGGGGGTTTATGGATTAGACATGGTTAGAATCTTACCTTTTTTTGCAGTTTGTCATGGATTGGAAGAACAAGGGCTATAAATGTTAACAAAACCTTCTTAACTGTGTTTTCTTTGTGAAATATAAAAAGGAAAATTAGCATCAACCTGCAAATAATAATGAAACCTTTTATAGCTATGATGAGTATGTATGTGGAAGATTTAGGTGCCTCATATAAAAACATTATAAGGTACCAATAAAAACCATTGCTATTTCTACTTTAACGTGAAAAGGGGGGAAATTAAATAGTAACTCAGAGCACGAAGATTCTTGGGAGAGGGCTGAGAGAAACTTCTCAAGTCTATGGAGCTATAAGGGGAAACTTTGATTTCTAAAGAAGGAATAAAATACCGTTTTTTCTTGAGTGTATACACATTTGATGTGATCATGGATTGTGAGTTTAATTTTTTACTTACAACCCTCTTTACCATTTGGGGGGCCCAATCTCTATCTAACTAGGCTCTGACATGAAACCAAACCCACTTGTGCAGCCCGTGGCCGGGAGAGGGCAGCACCTCCATGGGCTGGGGCAGCACATGAGAGGATTTCCAGCTTTCCCACCTGCGCCTTCGACACGATCACACCTGAAAGTGGTTATGTTTCCATCTCACGTTCATAGAGTGGCTCTTGAATTCTCCCAGGTTCTTTCCCTCCCCCTTGCCTCCCTCCTCTTCTCTCAGGTAGCAGAGGCTTCGCACAGGAGCACTGAGAAATCAAGAAAGTTTGATTTCCCCACAGTCCTCATTTCCTCTTCAGCACCTTTCTGCTCTGCAGCACAAACTCTTCATTCATCCTGAAATAAGCCACCTCTCTAGCATTTTCTCTCCTTTCCATGTCTCTGTCTGTCCATCTATCACTATCCACCTCTTTCTATCTATAAAAGGGGGATGTTGCTTAGCAACATTAACCTATAAAAGCCATAGGTTGATATAACCCTGGCTTTTCCCAGAAGCTCAATTATTCCTTCTTCATGATTACATTTATTCATTCACTCAGCGTTCATTCAACAAATATTTATTGAGCGTCAGACACAGCGCTTGGCTCTGGAATACAGCATTATATGACAGAAAACATCCCTGTCTTTATGGAGCTAACATTGTAATGGGGATCATTTGAAACAAAAAAAATACAGGAATTGAATACAATAAAGTAGAGGAATTAAGCAGACTTCTTCAAAGCCTGCTTTTTACCATAATTTGTCGAGAAACTCCAGAATATCTATTTATAAGAAATAACTGAGTCTGAGGGACAGCGCAAGGGCTGGGGGCAGGGGGTAGATGGGTGGGGGATGGATAAGATGTGTTAGTGTCTAGGAAGACCACCCTGTTCAGGCTCTTTGTGACTTTGCAGGTTAAATTCTTATTTTTGTGCTGAAATTTAAATCCTAGAGCTCCTGAATTGGTTAAAACCTTGCCTAAGAGCAGTACAGTTACAAAGTGCTTTAAGCGAATTCTTTCTAAATGTCACTGAGATCTTTACAAAGCCTTGAAGTCCCAGGTGATGAAAGGAGGCTCTTGTCATTTCTTCCAGCAGCTATCAGAGGCCCCCTGATAAGCAGAGGAAGCATGACTCTGCTAAAGGAGCCCCAGAAGTTCAAGTCACCTGAGGCCACATGTGGTTTTGAATTCCTTGCTTCTCTGTGCAGAGGGAATTCAGAAGTGGCAAGTGATGTGTTAGCCACTCTGCATGTTCTTCCTTTCTGTTGGAAAGGAATGTTTTCATTGGAATAAAAGTAAGGTCTTTTTAACATTTCTCTCAAGGTTAATACATACACAGAGCCTTTAGAAGGAAAATGAGTTTGCAGGCCGAAAATGGCAAAGATGGAAGTGGTGTTGTCCCGCCCACCCTGCACGCTGTCACTGAGCTGGCCTGTGATAATCGGGCTCTTCAGAGCCACACACCTGAGACCATGCTCAGCCCGGTGTGCACTGCTTTGAAGCAGAACGCTTCTGGCCCTCACTTCCCCAACCATAACATCCTGAAGTGGGAGGAGGAGGAGGAACTCATGCCGTTCCAAGGCACCTGTTGTGGTTGTCCCTTTCATGTGCCACTGTCTGGAGAACCCACTGGGCCCACCTGAGTTTCACATGAACTGTTCTCCATGGCTGTGGGTGTTGAAAGCCACTTCATTTTACATGGATCGCCATACCGTGGTAAAGCCCTGTTCACAAGCTAGCCTGAGCCTGGAAGAGCCCTCTATGGCCTGATCTTGGCTTATTTGTTCTCAGCCTAAGTTTTTCACTTGAGTTTTATCTTCTTTCCTGGCACCGTACATCCTCTCCGGCCAGAGCTTTCCAGGCAGAACGCTGCCTTCCCGGTTGGCTAGCATGTTGACGCCAGCATATGGAGCCCCATCCACCACTGTTGCCCAAGTCATAAGTATTACATGAAAAAGAAAAGAGAGAGAGCCCAGTCACATCATTTTGAGGAGTTCTGGAATAAAGTGGATTTACCCTATTTCTTTACTCAGGGCATCACCAGCACTTGCTCACATAAACTGTGTTTGCCATTGTGGCATTTTCCAAATTGATCTGACCATGGAAACCTTTCTTCATGGACTTTAAGAACTAAAAGCGCATTTTGGAAAATGCTGCTCTGGATCATTCTTTAAAATCAGCAGAAATTTGATGGGAGTTGCTCATTGATTCCACAAGCTTCTTGCACGGGGGTCCATGACAGTGGGTACAATGAAGGATATAGATGAAGAAGGAACTAAAATACATGGTTGAGACCCTGTACATGAATCAGAGAAAAGATCAATCAGGGAGGAGAGTTGTGGCTGAAAATACAAAGCAGCGAGAGAGGAAACCAGCAAAAACACTGGGCAGAAACCCCAGGTGGACAGCTCGGGAAGTGGCCCATGGCCCACCATGTGCCAGTGGACTAGAGTCTGAGCCCCAAGTTCTCCCTCCACCACTGCCACTTAATGCTGTCATTTCAGCTTCCAGAATGGCCAGTATTCCTGTCCTGCCTAATCTGTGAGGATGTTGTGAGGGGTGAATGATACAATCTGAGAGACAGCTCATTGTGAGTCGTTCTTATTAGGGGCAGAGCTATAGCAATCTGCCTCCCTAACCTAGAGTGGATACTGCAGGGATGCTAAAGGAACAGAGCCCTGGCCCTGGCCTGAAGGAGTGCTTGGCTTTGTTGAAGACACAAGGTGTATTCTCATGAAACAAAAACAAACACCATGAGACTATGCAATAAAGTACAACAGAAGGCAGCAGGTATTGTTTGGAGAGTTTGTACAGGGATGCTAAAGGAACAGAGCCCTGGCCCTGGCCTGAAGGAGTGCTTGGCTTTGTTGAAGGCACAAGGTGTATTCTCATGAAACAAAAACAAACATCATGAGACTATGCAATAAAGTACAACAGAAGGCAGCAGGTATTGTTTGGAGAGTTTGTGGTGTATTCTCCAAAAACCAGATGTAATTCTGTCATTTCAGATTGAAGACTGACATTTCCCAAAGGAATGAGGACCCCCTTTTGTGAATCTATGCCAAGGTGGGAGATAGGGTGAAGCGCACGGAGAGAAGGCGGGCTTTAGACCTAGACAAGGACGAGTTTAGTCTTGGTGGAGCCTGGTTTCTGTGCACCTGTGGACATGTCACTGAACCTCTCTGAGCCCCATCTACAAATTAGGGCTGATAATATTTCTTTTCTGAAAAGATTCAGTGAGACAGTATTTGTAAAGTGGGAGGCATATTGTAGGTGTTCCGGCGTGAACGGTGATTGCAGACGATGGACAGCCTTGAACACCATCCTGAGGAATTTGGATTTTGTTCAAGAGGCAATAGGAAGTTATTGTAGATCCTTGAGAAAGGGAGTGTGATTTAGTGATGTGTTGAAAATGGTACTTCAGACTGATTTCTTCAGCTGTGAAGTGCAGGACATCAGGCAATGGGCCTTTGCTGAATTTATTAAATTCTGCCTTTCACTGTTAATGCTCCTGCTAGAAAGTTTCAGTGCAGATTTCCCTGTGTGCAGCTGTGTTTGGGCCACAAACAAACTTCTGTGTTCTCCTACCTAAGACATGTGAGCTGTGGAGGGCTTAGGATGGTGATGTGAGGGAGAACTAGTGTTAATGACAGCAGCGGGGCCAGTGTGAGCGGTGTGCTCTGCGGTGAGTGCCCCCTCCCTTCCTGCAATAGGCTCCTCAGCATCCATTGTACTATGTCCATTTGTCTGGGGAAACTGAGGCACAGGAGAAGGCACTGATTTGCCAGTAGTCACATAATGAGACACATGGGGGGAGAGGGGAGACAAAATTATAAGCCTTAGATTTTTGCCACCAAAGCTTTTAGGCACTCTTAGCTAACGGCAGGGAAAGCGAGGGCTTCCCCTTAGCCAGGAAGCTGCTCTGTTCCCCGCTGTCCTGCTTTCTCTGATTGCAGGAGGCATCTACCATTGCAGCCTATACCAGGTGTGCTCTGTAGGTTTCCTTTATTCCCTTTGTCTGGAGAAGCCAAAATAAAGCAAGGTCAGAGTCACAAAACACATATATCTTTTTTTCTTTTGCCTCTTGTTCGGGAGCTCTGCTTCTTTTGGTGGCATGAAAACAAACAAAGACAAAAGAGAAGTCAAAGACCAGACTCCCTGTCAGGACCATGAGGGTCTCCCCTCACACACCTTTGTCCCAAGATGAAGCGTCTCTATCACCACAGCCCCAGGGGAAGGCCCTCCCCTCATTCTGGTCTCCACTGAAATTTTCTTGTCCCTACAAGTCACAGACACCCTTTGCTGGTCTTCCCTGAAATGTAGTTGGTCTTATCTGTTTGGGAGCGAATAACAGGACGTCCACGTTCCCTGCCATAGCTCTGGCTGCCTGGTGCTCACAGTCTGTGGCCAGTTCCTCTTGGTCTCAGCCCCTCCGGCGTATCAGGGGCTCGTCTCCCTGAGCCTGTGCCTCAGACGCCTCCAGACTCCGCCAGGATGCCTGTGTGCCCTCTCCTCACCCTCTTAGATCTTTGCTGCCTGTAACTGTGTACAGAGCCCCAAGATCTGCTCTTAATACAGACCTCGCTGTTGAAAAACAAATCTTGATATGTGACCTTTTGGAATTTATTACGTTAAAACAAATGTTTTCTTCCACAATGAAACCTGACTTGCTCTAGACTTTAACCAATCAAGTTTGAGATACAAAACTAAGCAGTGTCTTCTTATTTATTCTAAGCTGGATCCGGTTTCCCCTGAAGCAGTGCACGCTGTGAATTCAGAGCATGGAAGGCCACAGGGAAGGAAAAATACATCACCTTGATCACTCGAGATATTTCCCCACTTCACTTACAGTCACAAATCAAAAATACTCTGGCTAGAGTTCTGCACTTCTCAATATACCTCTTTTCTACTAGTAATCATAATGCTGGATAAATGGACTTTTTTAGGAATCCACATTTACTCCCTATAAAATTATTGGTTCTTAACCTTTTTTGAGGAATAAATCCTTAGAGACTCCACTGGAAACTATGGACACTTCCCATTTTGTTTAAGGGCATGTACTGACTACCCAGAGCCAATCTATAGGCCAGAGTTTAAAACCAGCCACATCTATGATTTGCTCTAAGTTAGCAAAACTGCTTTCAGGAGAGGTCTTCATCATCACCTCTGTTTTTGAAACATTTCTGGCAAGTGTGATAGAAGCAAGTCGGGAATGGACTAACCAAGTCGGGCTGCCAGAATGTTTAGGGCACACACAAGTCCTTTTGAAATGGGAGGGCTATACTGCTAAGTAAGCATCCTCCCCAGGCTACCGCATCAACCCTTAAGCAACTATATCCTACTTGCCTTCCTCACAGAAATCACATGTTAATTCTTTGGGATTGTCGGTTCCATTTAGGCTAAGTAAGCATCCTCCCCAGGCTACCGCATCAACCCTTAAGCAACTATATCCTACTTGCCTTCGTCACAGAAATCACATGTTAATTCTTTGGGATTGTCGGTTCCATTTAGGCCCTCTCTTCAGCTTTCTTCCAAAAGTTTTAGGTCTCACCAAAATATGAGTGCTTGAACGCTCAGGGTCTCCAAACTATGCTCCAGTTACGTTTCATAGAATCTCAACTGTATGTTATTATATATGCATAATTATAAAAATATATAGAGTGTATAACACTCAAAAGTGTTGGAAATGGGTTCTAATGAGGCACAGTGCTGCTACCTGATTATTTTTCCAAATAGACTTAGAACTGCTGTGCTAACATTTGGGGGCCATGGGTCAGTGGGGGGAATGCCATCCAGGCCTCCTGGGTGCCAGATGAGGGCTGCTACACACAACTCCTGCTTCCATTTTCCTTTTGCTTGCAGACCTTTCCTTCTCTGCTCCTACATCCAGGAGAGTAAGTCAGGATGGAAACAGCCAGGCCCCTTTTAAGTGAGCCAGTAATGAAAGATGTTTCGTTTGTCGCTGGTTTTCTGCTTTCAGGCTGAACCGGCATCCTCTAACAAGTGGCAGCTGGATAAATGGCTAAACAAAGTTAATCCCCACAAGCCTCCTATTCTGATCCAAAATGAAAGCCACGGGCCAGAGAGCAATCAGTACTACACCCCGGTGAAAGACGACGTGCAGGACTGTGGGAAGCTCCCCGACGTTTGCCAAGCCAGCCTGCGAGAGAAGGAGGTCAAGGGCGCCTGCAAGGAGGAGCAGAGGCCCAGGACAGCCAACAAGGCTCCGGGCAGCAAGGGGGTGAAGCAGAAGTCCCCGCCCGCGGCCGCGCCCGCGCCGCCGCCCGCCGCGCCCTGTGCG